ATGGATGCCTAACTCATGTGCAAAGTTTCAGCCAAATTGAGCCAAGCATTTCACAGTTACCGTCAGCGGCATTTCACACTGCTCTTGGGAATCAGCACTTTTTTAGTCGCATTGTCATTGAGAAGGTTAAGGATTTGGGTCACCGTGTGTCACAAATTTGCCCAGTACATTTGTGCGATGTATGAAACCAATAAAAGACTAGCACACAAAATTTATATTTGGTTGGGTTCCCCCAGCTTTGGCTGGAAGGGGGACCCACCCACCCCAGGACAAGTGCAAAGAAAGCAAAAAGGAACAAAATTTTGTTAAAATAATTCACGCATAAAGAAGTCAAGATAAAGAAAAATTACATTCAGAACTAGCTGTTTGTAATCGAAGATATAATTCAGTGGCATCTGAAGCATTTGTCCCTGTTTGAGTTTACCACAATGTTCAATAAGCATCTGTTTCATTGAATTACAGAGCTGACGAAGCCAATGTCAAAACCACTGAGGCCCAGAGCAGCTTACAGGAGGCCAAGCAGCGCAACGTGTGGCTGGAGAAACAACTCGGAAAGGTCAAAGTTGAAGGTAGCACCAACAGCGGCAAAGGGGCCAAGAAGTCATCGACGGTTGTCAAGATGTCGGTCTCGGGGGGTTATCTCGCAGACAGCGACTTGGTGGAGGGGGACCTTCCCCTGAATCAGCAGATGCTGGATGAGCTACAGACAAGGTATTCTCAAGGTTTTTTGCAAAATGAAGAAAGTGAGACATTTTGCAGTTGGCTGTCACAGACTGCAAATATGACAGTTTGATGTCATGGTTGCTTTTTTAACTAAAGCGTATTATGCAAAAGATCACTATCTCATATATCTAAGGAGAGCTTTTGCCTAACGAATATTTTACTATTAATGCTGAAAAACCTTTGCCTCAAAAAAAGTAAATGTGGTAATCCATAAACTACAGGGTTTAGGTTTGTCCAGATTTTTCCCGTTTTCTGGATTTTGTGTAAGATAAATATTCAGGATGTGGATATTCCATTTAGCATGGCTTTGCTACAGTTACAAGTATTATTGTGCAAATTTTGCAGGAAAGCAAGTATAGGACTTGTGCAAGTTGAGGTTTGGATAAAACTCATGTTCTTGTTTTGGTACTCCCACTGGAATGCATTTAGCCAATCAGTTTTCATTTACGCGAGATTTCTCAAGCACCATTTTGCTCGTCCCCCATGCAATCCATCAGTTGTCAATTCATTTTATTGAAATGGCTTGCAAAGATTTGATCATGTTGGAGATCTTCCAGTTGACAAGGCCTGAAAAATCTGTGCAACGGTGGCTTGAAAGTCAGTTGGAAAGAGAAGCAGCGAAGGGAAAGACGATGGACCTGTACTATCCTGATTGAATTTTTAAAACATCAACAAGCAAGTGTAGTGGTACAGAGAAATGAATGTAAGGAGGCACTTTTCCTTTCAACGTTTCAGTTTTTCGTAAATTTCACCCCTGAAAGTAGAACACTGAGGTTTAAGCTGTGATGGCATGTTATGCAGATTAAAGCACATTTTGTGTTATGTTTTTGTTTGTGTCCTGCAGTATTCTCTTTTGCCAGAGTTGTAGCTTTCCCCAGAATTTGAACAATTTGAAATTCAGGCAAGATTCAAATTAGCCCTATCCACCTCAAGCAGAAGCACTCCTTCATCTGTTGGAAAGAGCCATATTGGTTGGGAGTGTTCATTTTGTTGGTAGTGATGCGACTGCAGTCCATGCATTTCACAGTTGTTGGTAATTCAGCCAAGTTCAGTTCTGACTAAAGCTCCATTGCTAAAGCAATCGTCCCCTCTCTTGGTCCAGCTCAAGGCTCATTTAGACAATAAAGTAACTTTTGGGTTGGACAGAGTGAAAGATTTCAACAGGATGGCGATTTCAAAACCCAAATTGTGACACCAAAAGAAGCAATCAAAATTTGTTAAACAGAACAGGATTCCTTTTAACCACTTGCCACTGGGGTTTCCCGGACACGTATGCTTTATACATGTGGTCTCTGAAATTGGACAAATTGAACTGGGCCTTTTAACAGAAGACCGTACTCGGAACAAAAGACCAGGCTGCTGGGCATTACCAACATTTTTTCACTCTCAATAGTGGAGATAATCCAGCCTTGTTTTGAAACAGTATACCAAGGTTTGGGGGATTTAGTGCGAGCGGATTACCACTGTGGACAAAAGGGCTCCACCACCACAGGGATGAGCCACACAGGACCACTGCACGCTAATCTGGCCCCTATTGAAAAGAGGTCAGCAGCGCACCTGTGCCAGGTTCGTGAACAAAAGAAAGTTACATAACACCACACAATCTGGGCTCTTTTTACAAGGCTGCAGGCCTGGCTGAAATACTCGGGCATCAGTAGATTTTGTCTGTCAGATTAGAGTAGCCCACCAGACAGTCATTCGTGTGGGTGTAAACATCCATTAATTTAAATGATGAATTTTTGAAGAATTTTGAAAACTGAAAATCTTGAAAATGTCCGAGTATGTACACTGCATTTTTTAATCCAGCCGGCAGCAAGTGGTTAAAAATACAAAAACTTGGTATATACCTGTGGAAAAAAATTTTGATGTTACTGACTCTTTGTGATCAAACTCAGACAAAAACTTGGGAGTAAGCTACTTTAAAGGTCTTAAAGTTCTACATTCTGTGTTTGCTGGGAATGGTTCATGAACTTGATTGAACCAATGACTGGCCACTGAAAGGACATACTCAAGGACTGAATTACCAGAGACGAAGGATGCAGAAGCTGGGATATGTCAAACTTAAGCTGCCAATAAGACAATCCAGTATTCCAACAGTGCACTGGCAAATGAAGTGTGTGATTGATCATTTGGGATATCCGGGATATCAATGGCTATACATAATTCATGGCTCACGTTCATAGAAAACGTGTGTGCTGGTGTGAAGTCGGGTGCTTTGACCTCATACCTTGCCTCAATGAAATGCCGAATTGACTTATTAGGCATTCAAGATTGCATGTTTTGAGACTTGAGGTGTTAAGTTGCGGCAGGCATGTGTTTATGCCTTCTGGTATACATGCAGAACCTCACATACCCACGCTGTTGGCCTCATGTTAAGGTGGACTGTTGGTGAATAGTGAAAAAGCGTTCTGCCATAAAAATAGTCAGGCTAGAGTAAACATGGCCATGTATTTGTAAATGTAGGAAGTACTTCAGCTGACGCCTGTTCCCTATGAATTGGTCTTTTCATCTTTTCTTTTCATCTCTGTGACAAATTACTTCCCAAAGAAAGCTGTCAAAGAAACAGGTCAGGCAGATATTTACAGGGTGTTATGGCAAACACCATTGTGTTAGCAGTTTCAGAGGTATTGTATGATAAACATTGCTTCCCATGCTATGGGAAATATTTGACGAAGCATCGTGGAAGTATGTGGCTTTTTATCCCTATTTCTTTCATTTCTAAACATTGTTAGCTGATTTCTCAGGGTTTTGGGCACAGTGTAGAAGCCTGGTTATTTAAAAACACTGTATTGTGAAGTACCAGTAATCAAAGTACAACGCTCTAGGTGGAACTCCAAATGAAATTTATGTGCGATTTACAGAGAATCAGGATTCCTTTTATAGATGTTTCTGGTAGATGTCATTTGGTTTTGTCATCTTGTCTTGCTTTCACCTAGAGACACTTATAGGCCTCATCATTTTTCCTTTGTTTTGTTTCAACAACTTTTGATGTTTTCATCCCATGCCTGACTGCTTCAAGTGTGTCATCATACTGCAGACTCAGCACCAATGTCCAAACGTCTGATGACCCTTAGGTGCACAGAACAGAATGGCAGAGAGCTTGGATGTGAAACTAAACATTAAGACTTGCAAAAACTTCATTTGCTTTTGTAGTATAACAAGTTTCACTTTGTACTGATACAGAATTTGAAAGCTACTATTAGCTTTAAACAGTTATCCTTTTCAGCATTTTTCAAAGTGTACAATAAAAAAGGGAGGTTTGGCATGATTTTGGAAGATGGATTCCACCCTTTGACACTTCACATGGTTCTTTGTGGTCTGTGAAATTTTTAAGTGCTTGTGTAAACAATAGAGGCAATTCATGATAGAGTGAGCCACCAAGAGGTTGCGAAGGAGAGGCCATTTTTCAAGTTTATGGTCCACCATTAATATGACTGATTTGCCTTGATTTGCATTTAAGCGTATGATAATAAATAACTTGAGGAAATAGATCAGGGCATTCCATGAAATGGAAAGAAGACTGGATTTATTAAAACTGATACTCAAAATACAGTCTAGAATCTTCTACCTTTGCACTGCTGGCAAATAGAATTTGTTAACCATTTCCCAAAATACACTGCCAAAAATGGCCCCTCTGCAATATGCTCTTGGCACGGACGTATATAAAAAATTCTGGACTCTCAAAACCATTAATCAGCTTATGGAGATCATTGAATCCACTAGCGGCCATTTTACCGAGCCGAATACAAAGCTTGCCCGGCATTGCCCGCCTTTGTTCTCCCTGGTGTCAATAGAAGTGAGCCAACCCACGCATTTGTATTTGACTCGGTAAAATGGCCGCTGGTTGGCTTCTTTTTTCATGTAAATGCATTGCAAGTCCAGTTTTTTTTTAATACACATCTGTGGCTGTTGTACCACACTACATGTATGTTGTATATTACGAGAACTGTGAATGGGATTAAAGGTTCTTTGTCACATTTATACTTCTATTAGTATTTGTGTGTACATGTATGGAAACTGTTTTTAAAGGATTGTCAACCTTCTGGTACTTTTTATCTCAAGTTTCAATCTTTAACCTATAGATGGTGCACATACTTTTTCATTTACAAAGTCTCCTTTCTTTCACAGGTTAGCTATCAAGATTGATGAAAATGATGCCTTAAAGTCGGCCGTGAAGAGCACTCTAAAGGCCAAGGAGGAAGATCTGAAACTGTACCATGACATGATGAGACAGACGAAGGAGGTCTTCCTGCAGGGACTGCGGCAATTCAGACAGAGCGGAGGAAACAGCAGCTAAGAGTTTGCCGGAAACCAACACCAGGATCAAGTGAAGGTAGTTCACTGAACTGCAAAAGTAATGGCTCCTGGTAGGAGGCATTCAAAATAGGGTACTGAAAACAGTGTCCAATTTTTAAAGCTTTTCCATGTCCTTTTTTTTTTAGGGGCGGGGGTAATAAGATACTTTATCCTTATTCACCACTTATGACATGTTTTGCCTGTTTATCAAAATCTTTTAAGTTGACATCAGTCCTCTCGGAACAGTGGCTCAACTGGGGTATATTTTGAAGGGCCTACTTGGAGGCCCTTAGAGAGCGTCTCAAAGGCATCAACATTGGCATTCCATTCCATTTGGAACACTGATGTTTCTTTTGAACATGCCGCGTTCCACTGGGAACACTGACAACATTCCTGTAGAAGCATTCAGTTAGGAACACAGCATTCCTGTAGGAACGCCGTGTTCCCAACGTTAGCAGTTGGGCATACATTTGTCCATGTAGTGGAAAGCAGGAACACATAGCTTCATCTTAATGTTCTGAATAAGTTTTTGACTGACAGATTTCTACGACATAATTGGTTTGTTAATTTTTTACTCGAGTCTTCTGTTTGCACTGACCAAGACGGACTATCACCACATTTTTCCCTTGTCTTATATGGGGGGCGGGAATGCCCTCCTTAGTTATGCCACTGTCTTAATTTGTACATACGTACATATTTCTAGATTATTGTTATAAGGCATATGGACAGTGAGGCATTTAATGTACCCTTGGATATCTTTGGTACATTTTTCATGCGTGACATTTATTTCATAACAGCATGTTTGCTTTCGATAAAAGACAGCTTGGGGTCTTGCTGTTATCGATACATTCAGGAATGTTGATGCTTTCTGCACTTTTCTCCGTCCTTTCTTGCACTTTGATATTAGTCAACTATATGGATATCGGAGACATTTATTTTTTGGTCAGGAAAAAAGTTGGCCAGAGTGTTTAAAACTGGAGACTAGGTTCAGGTACTGGATGAAGACTGCTTCTCGAGTCTGTTAGGGCCATTCAAAATCACAATTTCATTTTTTTTCACCCAGCCTACTTTTGGACATTAACAAATTGACTTGCTACTTGAACTGATGGAATTAATTAATTGCATACGAACACTTACAAACAGGGACTGACAGAATTTTTTTACCAGTGAGAGTGCTGGTTTTCTAGAGAGTTGACCAATGGGAGTGCTGGTTTTCTAGAGAATTGACCAGTAAGAGTGCTGGTTTTCTTGCCTTTCATGCATCCCCTGCACCCCTTGCCCCTTTATCCAGCCTGCAGCTTTCTTGACCTTTCCTTTTTTCTTCCTGCATTTGTCCATGCTTGGTTGATTCCTCGTTTGCTTGTTTGTTCTTTTGACTTGTCCTTTTGCCTTTGAAAATGATTCTGCTAGGATCAAAATGTCAGGCCCTCCATGTTTTGTGATAAACTTAAGTGAAGTAAATGTATCAATCATCAAAGTATAATCAAAGTATAATGTGATCCAGGTGGCACCTAAAACAAAAAAAATTTAAAAGTCTGTTAAAACAACTCCAAAAACTTCTGACATAGTATTCAGTGCTCCTAACTGCTTCAAATCAGCCACACTGTTTCTTCTGTGTCAACAATCGAAAAGTTTTGGCTAAACTTTCTGTCTGCCATTGTCTGGTTGAAATTCCATCATGAATCTATGTTTTTTGAACTATCAAGCTGGATTAGGGCTTCATCAGTCTCTCTGTCTGATTTCAAAAGGCTACCGTCGCCAGGCTGCTCGAGCAAAGAGTCATTTCAATGCCTTGTTGTGACAAGAGCCAAAATCCTTCCATTTCTTGTTGTGAAACAAAACATTTTACAGGAAGGAGTGCTTTTTGAATGACAAGCCTTTTTTGGGGTGGACTGAATCAGTTCAGCACACTGCCAACGTGCCGTAGGCCACATTTGGTGTTTCCTTTGGTTGTTCCACTTCCTCCTACAAAGTACTTCTCTTTCCCGCTCACTTTATTTGTCTGTGGGTATTTACCACCAGTGAGTTTTTTCCAAGAAGTTGGGTTTAAGTGGAACTGTATGTTTAGGGGAAAAAACATCCCCAATATTAGGTCTTCAGCCACTCTTTCTGCCGCAGTTGAGTCCTGGTCAAAATACTTCGGCCTGGAGTAAGCTGCAGTATTAAACCAGCCAACGACGAATTCAATTTTGATGATGTCTGATTGAAGAATGTGAAAAGTTATAATCTCTTTCCCCCTGAGAGATGCCCTTTGTGGGTCTTGGGTTCAACTGGGAGACTTTGTTTCTGGTTTTGAGAAATTCAAGGGCAGACATCATGGGGGTTTGCCACAAGCATTACTTCTCAGGTTACACCGAGTTTCAGGGGTGAGCTCCATCCGCAGAGGTACATGTATATTAAATTATTAGGGTATAAGGCCCCATTCACCGTACAAAGTGAAGTCTGCTTGGGACGTCCCTGGTAATCGTGCACAAACTTATTGACATTTTGAATTTAATATATTATGATTGTTGATATATCTGCATCTGTAGTCTATACTGCTAAATTATTGAAGCCAGTTTGCGAATACTGAATTGTACAGTCAGTAGATGAGGATTTTGTTTCACTCTCATGAGCAAGCAGCAAATGTACTCAAACACATATGCTGTACTTATGCATCAAATTCACTGTTCATGTGTACATGATTCACAATTCATTCAGTCTAATGCCACCGTGTTCTGCACACCTGTCCATGAATTGGAAATGCTTGCACTCAGGTTAGCTTCAAAGTTTCTCTGTGGAGAAATGAAGAGTCAATGCACTAGTACTTTTTATCACTGGGCCATAAGGTCAGGTTTTTCAAACTTCTCTCAGCTTGGGGAGGTAGTGGATTCCAATCCACACAAGTTCAGGGTGGGTCATTTCATGAGAACTCATGCTTTGTTAGAAGAATTTTTAAGAAAATGTTGGAGCTTCCTCCAGACTGTGTTGTCAGTCCAATAATCCGATGGGTAGCCAGTCCAAAAGTGTGAAGGGTGGGGGTGTGGGTACTTGGCGGTGCTTGACCTTTGTGTCAGTAGTGCAGGTGCTTGACCCTCTGCCAACTCCTGCAGGTGACATATCCAGTCTCCCAATAAGACTTTAGCCATTGCCTAGCAAATCTCTTATTTCATACAGGAGTGAGTACTACAAATAACCTGGACCGAGGGTAATATTGTGGAAGACTTTATGCACCGAGTGATAAAAACAGAGTCATTTGAAGACCGTTGGTGAATACGCCAACGGCTGGAGGTTCTGTAATCTAAAGAACATAGCATTTGCCATCATATTGTTAGTTCTGGATGCTTCTAAGGCATCTTCATTGTTGTAATTTTGTTTTACATCCCACATTATCTCCAGAAACTCTCCGTTTATATTCTTTGCAGGAAGTCAAGCAGATACCAGTTTGAGGCAGGCGGTAGAGAATGAAATCTTAATGTTACTCAAGAAAGTAACTGAAGTACAAAAGATACAAAAACTTTAGTATTTATTACTTTTAAGGTTAGTACATGCCTCAGGACCTCTCCTTCCTCTATTGATGAGTTGGTTTGTTCTGTCTACCCTAATTGGTTTCAGTAACAACATCAAGTTGACTGCTGTACAGTTTCATATTATCAAGATTTTTATGTGTAAATTGTGTACATAGCCACAGCAGAAATTGCCTGATTGATTACCATGCATACACTTTATTTTTCCCCTTTTTCTACTGTCTTACCATTTCAAATTTTTCCAATACCTTGACTTTTAATCCGTCCAAAAATCAATAAGCGTATCATTCAAATGTTTGTTTGCGCTTTCTTGAAAGCAGCTGAGAAAAATCAATTTTTTTACATTTTGAGTTCTGCCCACCAGTTCACTAACCTCCATTGTTAAAAGTTCAGTTTTGAATAATGTCCATTTCTTTTGTGAAATTTATGCCAAAATATATGTGTTATAAATGGCACAGGATGGTGCCTAAATTAAAGGAAACTATTGTTTAAAATTTGTTCACAACTTATCAAGTTCTTTGATGTGGAATATTCCTGTTCCCTGACAAACTAGTAACAAAAAGTGATGGCAATATTGCATTTGTCCATTTGTGGTATGCAGAATTTGCTTTTGTTATAAGGATGCATCTGTTTCCATAACATTTTAGCATCCTCACAATAGTGTATTTTTCAGATTAATTAATGATCAATTGAAAACACTGCGGTTAACCTTTACAATTCACGGAATTTTTTTCTTGCAAATTAAACCAGGAAATAGAGTTGACAAACTAATGGGTTTTTTTTCAACTTGCTGGTAGCACGTTTGGTCACACCTGCCCTTGACAACACAAATATCTTGATTTTTATATTTTTATTTATCCACGGACTACATACTACCTCTCCATATGGTGCTTTTTGAAAGTGAATATATTGTTCCGAAATGCTATATCTATTTTGATTGTTCCATTGCTGCTGGCTTGGATAACATGGTTAGGGTGGGAGGCATTCCCCTGCTTTACTTAAAAATAGACTACAGATATTTAAAACACACTAACGCGTTGTACCAGGGAAAAAATGGATGTGTGTTATGTCACACATTAAGCACTTCGAAATCTTGGCTTTTCTATAACTGTACCCCCCCCCCAAAAAAAAACAATGTTAAACAAGATTAAGTGTAATCAGAAACTTTTTCTGTGGTAATGCAACTGAAATATAAAGGGAAGGGGACTTGAAGTGCACCTCTAGCTATGGAGTTGGCAGTGAATAATTGTTAGATTGCATTCTCTGGACAATTGTTAGATTGCATTCTCAGTTGGCTTTTGGAAGAATGCTTTGTTGCTGGTTCTTGGTTAAAGGAGGTGGCCATAGTTCCTGAAGGGAGAAATACAATGGCATTCAAGTAGTGTATAATTGGAAAAAAAAGAAGTGGAGTTCTTTCTCATGATGAGGAAAGAACAGGCGATGGGAAATCGTCATTCAACAGCCCAACAGCTGTACAGCCGTACACGGGAAACACAAACATGCAACCGTGGAGCAATAACACTCCATGGTGTAACCAAGCCAACAAACCGACAGATCTTTGGGGCATGATAACATTTATTGTGCTTCTCTTCAATCCACCTAACTTTCATCTATGCTTATCAGTGCTGTTATTAATCTGTAACAGATCTCAATTGAGAACCGGTCCTTCACGATGTCGACATTTAAAATACTGTTTGTTGAGCTTGAAATACAGACTTGCATTAAAATAATACATCCATGTGCACATAAATTTGTACATTGTACACGTCTGTTAAAAGAGCATGTCTCACCGAGTTGCTCTGTGCAGACTGCATGGCAATAAACGACAGGTACAATCTGACTGAAAAAGAAACAGCATTAGTAAATGGTAGCAAGCCTACAAGATGAAACCTGTATACAATGTACATGTATTTAAAGTATCCTTAGGGAGATGCTTTATACTAATTTAATAACCTTGGACATTGGACATTTGGGAGACAATTTCAATGTAGGCAAGCGAGCTCGCTCAATGTGTTACACAAGTGAAACGAAGTCAATTCAATATTTTTCTTTTTCTTTCATTGCTGTAAATATTCTCACTACACTTCAGTCGTCAATCCAATATTGATCCCGATAATCAGTAATTTGAAATATATCGCCAAAAGACACATGATCAGTGATACTTAGTGAGAAAATAAATTACCACACTGTGATTTTAGCACGGCCATGTTTTCATCATGGTGTTCATTGCCTTTGGCACCCTGTTATTATAAAGGAGACGAAATGAACACCTTTATCATAGAGCCGACACTCAGCCCGTGCCAAAGCGTTGCCATTGACGAACCAACATATTTAATTAACGCTTTGCTAATAGGAAGTGATAAGCTCACGATCGGAGGTCGTGCCATTCAGCCCTTCACAGCGCCCTAATTGGTCGCAGGGCGATTAGCAAAATAATGCTACCTCGTTCATCCACTCCATGTGAATCTTTAAAGTAAATATCTAGAGAGTGGGCAATTTTAATATCCTAATATCTTCATGCAGATACGCAATTGGGATTACTTATTTACTAACAGGACAGTTTTTTCGGTGTTATATGCATATGGTTTGAACAACACACGGTTTTGACGTTGGTTTAACAAGAAGTATATTGTGATACGTGCCACCTGTAAAATTTCGGTAGGCATTACCGTGTCTTTTGTTGGAAAGTGACCTTAAGATATCAATACTGTCCAATCTGTCCTGTCAAGAAATATAATTATAAACACCTGAACAAATTCCCGTCGTCTGATCGGTGGGCTGTTGATCACGTTTCATTAATTCGTTGGTATACATGTATTTAATTGTGATCGTACCCCGTTTAATAATGTGACGCTGAAACTGAACGGAATGTGAAAACTGTGTTTTTGATATGCAGAACGAGAACAGCAACTTTGTAAACGTCTCTTCAGGCGTGATGTAGAACAAATAACGACTTATAAGTACAGTAGGCCTACGTTAAGCGGTTCAGCCATTCGTATTGGTCAAGAGCTCGTCACGTGGCTGGGCTGTGCGCCACCCACGTGCGCGCCATTCATTCCTGAACCAAGCATATTATTTTATTCCCTTCTTATTGCTTGTGACCCAGTAAACTGTTGCATCGCACTGTGAGTTCTGGTCGTTTAGAATATTCAAAACAGCGTACAAACGATCACTGACACTTGCAAGTATAAATTTCACGTGTCACCCCGACCTTCGCATGGAAGTGTTCAAGTTTAAGTGTAAGTTTTAACTTGTTAAGATAGCCTACGCATTGTAACAACAAATAATCATTGATGATAAGGTAGCACACGTCGAGAGTGACCGCAGTGGCTGATAGGCGAGGTGGCAGTACAGTAAAATGTATGTAAATTTCTGTTGGAACTGGTTCAGGCAACTTACACCTTACTGGGGAAAAAAACACAGAAAACGATTCTGGCCGGGGTCAAGTCAAACATTTGAGCGCAATTTTGGCTGTGTTCAGAGGTCAGACTTGAGTGAAGAATCAACTCCAAATTTTACCCACATTGAAATAATAGTAAAGTACAGATACAATTTCTTTAAATGTGTATCTACAGCCTAAAGGATCTACAGTCATCTACAGCCTAAAGGATCTACGGTCATCTACAGCCTAAGGGTGTATCTTTCGCACACAAACAGACCAGTTTCAACTGTAATGAACCACATAGGCCTACTCGAGATCTTTTCTGAAATTGCCTGCTCTTTGACCTAATTTGCCCGTTATTGCGATTTTCAAGCACCACCACAGTCTAAACTTAGATGAACTACACCTTGGAAGGATTCCATACACGTAGATCTATCTTTTATCTAGGTGTTGAAGTAGTCTTACCTTTGCTTCATTAAAAAACACTCAAATCAATACATTGGTATCTTCCATTTAACGTGAAACAATGTACATGTACTAACATAGACCTTGGCAATAGACCTTGATGTCGAAATGTGCTTGCTTTCATGACGTCATGACGTCATCAGGTCCAAAATAATAGACAAAATTAAAAGAAATGTTTTCAACTGCGACTTTGGAAAGTGAATGCGGTAGACATTAACACTTTCTGGTAAACCATATCTTGGGCAACATTACTGATCGTAACATAAAATCACGTGATCTCGACATCTTGGGGTAACACGGAATGCAGTAATATGGGATTAAATCTTATAAGGGACGGATTTCTCTTCTCCCACCACATCAGTAAAATGTCCAGAGTTGTATTCTGAGCACCATACAAGAATTGCTGACGAAGTAGCACGAAAGCATATCCAAGTTTTTTTTTCACATTTGAGATTTGTTTTCCGTAGTTTTTTGAAAGTGGACGACAACCACTTCTTCAACGTAAATAATTTTTGGAGATTTAAAATGATGATGTCATCATCCCGGCAAATGCTGAAGGGATAATTTCGAAATGATACGTTTCCCATTTGACTTCATCTTTAAAAATATGTTTTTCAGAGATGTCATCTCTTGCACAAATAACGAGATCTAAATACACGTCACGTGACATCACCAAACAAACCAACAATGGTATATCCACAGGGGGCAAGTTGCCAGGTTACCATGTTGACAAGCAGACAGTTTTGGCATTTTTGTTTTGTTAAGATTTCATTCTTTGTAGCAATCCAAAGGGCCGAACTTTGGAAAAGCCTCTACTGCCTTACTTATTCGGGGGAGATTTTTTAAGGGGGGGGGTTCAAAAAATAGTCCACCTTTAGAAATAATCCCACTTTGCCCCTTGCCCCTTGCCCCACACAAAACCTTGATACGCCACTGGAAACCGATATTGCCCGATCGCTGCGTATCTATTACTACTACTACACGCACGTCTCGTCTAATAGTTGATCTTCTAAACCCCTTCACTAACCAATCCTGTAAACACCTAACAATTTGGATTCGGCGGTACTACTTTCGAGCGCTGGCGTGAAGCTCCATTGTACTTGTACACGTACCTGTGCATGTACTGTGTAATGGCACGTACATGTATTCACTTGGCGGGTCGGTGTTGGGTGGCACGTACAAATTTGAAAAAGTACAGTCGAAAGAAATAGGGTGCGTGCATCAGTCTACGTTGTGAATTCGTCATGAAATTGTGAACCACAGCTTAAGAGAATAAAATACTTCAAACCTTATACATGTACTTCAAGGCTTTGATGACATTGTCGTTACTTGCCAAAAAATGTATCCATCCGCGTATTCGGCAGTACACGTACATGCACGATGGGCAGAGTGTATTTGCACCCTTGTAATCATTGTTCGTGGTTTGGCGATAGTCCCATTTCCATGATTAACAATTTCCAAAGTGGTAAGAAAAGGGATAGAAAACCCTGAACTTACGTATTTTTACAGTAAAACAAGTAATTCTTAATTTTACAACTTCTTGAGTTGAAAACTAACTAGTGTACATAAACAAAGGATTTAACCGATGGTATCTAAATTTGTGATGACATCAAATATACAGTGTAAATAAACAAGCCAAGAGGCAGTGCTGTTTCCCACGTACCAAAACCTCGGAAAACCTCTAGTGGAATGTGGACGGCATGGTTTACCCAAATGGTCGGTTACTCATGGAAACGGTGATTACCACTAAAAGCTCGAAACCAGAAATATAAGGCATGCTCTCCCCCATAGTATTTTGAAAGCATTCTTTAGGACAGAAAAAAAATTATATGTCTTTTTTTTTCAACTGGCAACTAATACATGAAATGCTGTACACATTGCTCTCAATGGTCACTTTTGGAGTTTGCGACGAGGGAAGGGTCCGGTTACATGTATTAAATAAAAACACAACATTCGAATTGGGTACCCGCCATTTTTGGTTGGGTATCAGGTGCTTCATACTCGCCATAATCCAAAAGTGGGGGATAGTGACTCTTAATGGCCACAGGCCAAGGACACACGACTCTACAGTATCATAAAGGAAAGCACCGCCACCGTATAACTGTATCTACTGTGCGAGCCCTTCAAATGAACTTTGGCCTTTGTGGCAAAACACTTTGGGCCAGCAAAGGTGATGCAACAGGCTACATCCACATGTATTTATTTGCCAAGTTGTCTGGCAAATACGCAAGCTGTGGGACTGCTAAAAATAATCCAGAGAGAAAAACCGCGGAAGGCGTAATATGAAAATAACAGAATGTCAGAAAATGTAGAAAACCCAGCCCTCTACCCCCACCCCAAATTAAATTATTCCTTTTGATTGCCCTGTCTATGGGAAAATTTGCTGTGGAGTCCACACTGTAACTCCTGATTGATACATACACGTTGGAATAAACAATTCTCTTTTAATTGTCCGGTGGTAGCAGTTACATAGGGGATAATACTCAACATGTGTAACTGTGAAGAAAAGGACTATTTAGGCATAGGTTTGAAATTTGTGACCAAGCATTTAGTGGTAGCAGTTACATAGGGGATAATACTCAACATGTGTAACTGTGAAGAAAAGGACTATTTAGGCATAGGTTTGAAATTTGTGACCAAGCATTCCAAAACCGGGCTGAAGTGGGTAATTTTCATGTTTGACAACGTGCCAGTTGTTATTTCAAAAAGCCAAGGTCTTTCGGAACAAAGCGCGCGTGAGTCAGAAGATATTATAGCTGCGCTGATGGGACGGACTTTTGCGCGTGCGCGTAGCTGTTCCCGAAGAGCCTCGGAACTCGCTTATTCCCCTCCAAGTTTCATACTTCAAAGCGACTCACAGTGCGAAGTTTGCCTGAAGGAAACAGAGTTCGTAGAGGGAGGAAAGGTTGTGAAATTGGCGCTGTTCGTGTGTATATCGGTGTCATTTTCCAAATAGCAAAGAACTCTTCTCAGCCTGGTTTTGGAATGGTGGGTCACACTTTCAAAAGGTTCCAGCGGTTTCTAGATCTTCAATCATGTTCTTCCTGAAATTTAAGGAATTTTCTCCAATACAACTAATTAACATTTAAGATGCTGATGACTCCCAAAGTGTCCCAACTTTACAGTTGAGGAACCCACAACCAAACATTTTATTTATTTTAATGCTGAGGAGTACTTAGATGCATGTAAATGCTGCATACATCTCGGTAGCACACGATTGCAGGACCATGAATGCAAAAGTTACCACAAATGATCATCAACTTCCAAGACCTACCTGTACAAAAATATACAGCATCCAATTACCGTCCAGAAATACAACGAGGACCTCGACTGTGATCAAAAACCCACCTAAATAAAACATGTATCAATATATACTAGGTAAAATACTTGGCTTAATACAGTACATGTACATGTAGATATAGCACACTGTAAAGTATTTTCCTTTTAACCTTCGAGTTGTTGTCGTAGCCAATCTTCGTGGAGGCCGATGAGGAGCATGATGCCAACACCGAGGATCGTCCCCGCACCTTGAAGGAGGAGCAACTGGATCTTCTTGCTGGGCCTGCTATTCAGTGTCTCGATCAGTTCCGGGAACTAGGGGAGGCCGAGAAAAATGCAGCGTGGGCATTATACTAAAAAAATTCTCTCCATTACTTTTTGTTCGACCCGCGTCTATGAGACTTTGAATAACGTCAATGTGACTGGCAAAGGCGCAAAAGCACGAAATGGGAGCGGGCTTTCGTACCGTAGTTCACGCTCGATCCCTCCTCCCTTGCTTCAAATCCCCCCCTTCTACAATTCTTGAATCGTGTCAAAATTGCACTTCTTTTTCTGCTCCGAAAATTTGTCCAAACAAATTAAATTTGACTCGCCGTAAAACTTCGAAGAGATAAAAGCTAATCCTTGTGCTATAAATGTGAAGCTGAAAAGTAACTTCGTACCAGAAAGTTGCAGCGAGTCTCTTTAAGGTTAGGGCCAACTTGTACTTGGCGCGAAAACTTACAAGAACGGAAAATTGTGAAAATATTCGCGCTGCGAGGTCGCTAAATGTTGAACAATTTCAATTCGAGCCAACATTGGCAAATACTTGTTCATGACGTCTAATTCACTGTCGCATTCGCCTGAGGTATATGAACCTCACCTTTAAGCGGCAGAACATTGACATAGGTTGGGGGAAAGTACAAGCTTAGTCAATCATGGATGAAAACTTTGGCAGAAGGCATTGTGTCTCTTGAATTTCAGATTTCCACACAGACTTTTCATCGTGTTTGTAACGTGGGCGATTTCATTGAATGAACTCTTGGTTGGCTGAATTTCAAAAAGAAAAAATCTGCCATTTGTGTTCCACATTGCTTTGTTCAATGAACTTCACAATGTAAATGCAGTCATGCAATTCCGGTCCTGCCTGAGCTGTATAAAAGACAGGTTGTTAATACAATGAGAGGTGCCAACCTAAACAGTTCTGGGAGTCTGTTACTGCGCTCTAATAGTTCCACCTTTTTTTGCACGTGCACACAAGTTTTGCACTCGGCTCGTGTCTCCTCTGTCTAATCTGTGTTCTTGATAAAGGTCAAGAGATCTGTTTTGCCGGTTAAGAACCTCGTACTTTGCTTTGTACACAACCGAACACATAGCTGAAGAGGGCTCTCTTTTAACAGCAAATTTAGAATGCAATTAGTGAACAATATGAGATAAGTTTTATGTTCAGCTAATACTTGATTTGGAAGATAGCCCAGAACTGGAATGACTTCTTTTGCACATGATGCAAAAGGAATTCAACCGCTTGTGGTGTGCAATGATATAAATATTAACATGTATAAATGGGAACACTTCTGTATTGAGAATTGCACTTCCGTATTGAGAATTGATCAAATTGAGAATGTCAGCGATGTGGTGGTAATAAACAGAGATTCCAGCTTTATAATCTCCACATTTTCTCTTTTTTTTCAATAAAATGAACAGAAACAAGTTTTAAGAGAAGGAAAACAGTGGCCTTAGAGGAAACTTTGTGGTTTATCTGATGTTAAATAAGAGCCAATTTCAAGGCAATTTCAAAGCTTCTTCCATGGATATTTTCACCAAAAAGAAAAAACTTCCTTATCCTTTTTAGCGCAGTATGAACCATATTTCAGGCCTTCTCATTTAGATCCCACTTTTTCTGCACAGATGTAAATGTATTCTTGAGCTGGAAGCACGTAAAAATAGACACCCCACTCTCACTCGGAAATTAACTCTATGCCAATCCAAAGTTTGAGACAACTTTCATCTTCTTGTTTTCTCATGATGGGAAGAAGGGGGGTGGAGCTGCCCACAGAATACAGCTCTTCCATGACAAATCCCCGTGTCAGTCCCATATAAGAGTGCATCCCCTTGCACACGCTCAGTGGGAAAACGACAGCTTAAGCCTGTCGTGTACATCAACAAATGATTACGTCCTATTTCCGTTACACAATCGCCAAAATGAACGCAGGGCACTCGTGCAGGAACAGTTTGGGGCTTGGGTGACGAAACTGAGGTCTGTGATGATATCAGACATAATAAATGGACGGGATTCCTTTCCCCGATCCTTACAGCGTAAAGGATTTCAAACAATCATTGATATAGCATCGACGTGATACAGTACATGTATATCCTTTAACCTTGTGAAAGTCTTCCCCGTTATTGAAAACACGTTAAAACCTATTTCTGTGGATATTTCTAGTATCAGTTGCCCTTGTTCTCTGTTGCACTCGTTCTCTGTTGCACTCGTTCTCTGTTGCACTCGTTCTCTGTTGCACTCGGGCTTGTTTTGCGCACAGCACACCGAAGCGGCTTTATCAGTCCGACTATTTTATAACCGATAAAGTTCAGACCATCAAATGCCGCACTAAAGGTACGACATCATTAGCACCCACATTCAAACAGACGACTTTTATAGGGCACATCCTAATTCCTCCTGACCCAACAGACAATAAACCCCGAAAGAATATACCCACCAGATCGACAAGAGCGATGTAGACAAACATTCCTCCGGCCAGGGCAAATATCCACATGCTGACGGACTCGATGTTACCTGCGGCAATACCTATGGCCAGACCTATGTAGGCAAGGACGGAGGAGATAGCCTGGACAAACAGGGCTTGCTTGATGGACATTCCCCCCTTCAGCATCACGGCAAAATCGCCTGAGAGTGTCGGAAAATGGAGCAAATTACAAGTTACGACAAATTTACACAGCCAGCGAACAATACCCGATTATCAGCTGATAATCAGCTGACAATCAGCTGATAATCGGCTGAACCTTTCTCAGAAAGGATGTTCTCTTTCGAAAGTTAATTCTGAGAATTAAATATGAGCACTCACCACGCCGACGTGAAAATGACTTTTTTAGGAAAGGCAAATTATTTGCTCTAAAACAACTTTATCTTCAACAAAATACGTGCCCATTAAAATGTTGACAAAAATTTGAAGTAACAGTTCACCAAATCCTTTGTAAAGGATACACAGAGTTGCAATCCAAAACTACATGTACATGTAATATTTTTGTGCTGCATGAAATATTTTTGGTTGGTGGCACTAAAAAAAACAACATCGTTATGGAAAACAATGCACAAAAATATAGCAATTAATTATTAACTAGACGCTCATAAAGTTATTAGCATACCTAACTCATGTGGAATTTCATGACACATGACGGCAATAGCTGTGCTCAGGCCACCGGCGATGCTGTCGGCAAAGGCTGCCCCAACAATGAGCCCGTCACAGAAGTTGTGCAAGCCGTCCCCCATGACGATGATCCAGGCCAACGTGGCGATGCTGTTGTCCCCCACGGGGGTTGGGTCGTGGCTGTGGCCGTGGCGGTGGCTCGGACCAACCTCTGGGTCGTTGTCATCGGGGTCGCTGTGGTGGTGATGGTGGTGGTGATGGTGGCAGTGACGGTTAGAAGTGGAGGGTTGGTCGGGGTGGGTGATCAACTCAAAATCCTCCAGAAGGAGCATGCTGTTCCGTACTAATTTTTGGGTGAAAACACCAAGGAAGTTCACCAGTGGTTGTTTGGAAGAGGAACACTGATCAGAACATTATGAAGCAAAAAGCCTGTGTCACTTACTTGCTACAAAGTTTGAAGAATTAATTTCAGTGTCAGTGTCAACAGTATGACGGAGACATGATTTTTTTTTTTTTGGGGGGGGACCTTTTTGCTTTCTCCCCTTACACCACCGTGTTAACAATTAACGGTGGTGAGATGCAATTAACTGGGAAGAGAAGAGCATGAATTTTTATCAGTAACGGGGGGGGGCATCGCAATGAAATGAGCTGTGGCTTGTACATAGGTGGAGGATATGCTGGGGTGAAGTCCCCACCTGTAGTTAAGTACACCAATGCTTTTTGTCCCTTAAAAAAAAGAAGAATCCTGGAATTAATATTCATACTGATTTCTCTGTTGGAGCCTACGGCAGTCGTGGTGGTGGTGGGCGCACAGTGGTGGCAGAGTTTCTCGCCAATGGCGTCGCTACGGTTCGTCTCCTTGTACTCTCCCTGCAGCTCCTGTTGCTCCTGTTGCGGCCCATCGCTGTCGTCCTGCTGGTTGCTGTGCAGGGGACGCTGGCTGTTCCTCTTCGAGTCGGCACGCTGTACTTTGGTAGTCCTCTGCGCCTGTTTTGCAAGGTTACGGCAAATTAGGCTATTGTGTAAGGGCAATGCAAGGCATAGGAGAGAGTGCACTTCCCATTTGGTTAAACAAGTGATATGGGTACAATAACAGTACAGTAACTCAAGTATAGAGCTAAATTGGTGTATTTCAGTTTTGCTGGATTTGCTTCGTTTTTGCTGGATGACTAATTGCTGTGGCTTGTCCCGAGACTAGACACTTTCTCGCGCGCATTTAAAACCAGTCCGCGGTGTGCGTGCGCAGATTGAACTTGCTTCGCCCGCCATTTTTGATTTCAAGTCAATCAGTAGTGACGCGGGCCCGTGTTACAGAGCTGGAGTCAGACGTCTCTATCAATGTTTGCCTTGTATATTCCCAAGCGAAAAAAAAACTTACTGCAAAACATTGTGACTCCCTGTGACACTCTTAGGTGTGTTCGAAATGAGTGGAGTTTGTGTGCAAAATTCCTTTTGCTGAGCAGGTTTCGTTAAACGAACTACGGAAGTAATGGTTATGATTTGGTTTCCATATCAATGTAAAGAAACGCACAGGGCACTGCCGATCAGTTTTCAATGATACGCAATCATAATTATAGAACACATCGACTGACGCGAAAAGGGACAAACAACAGTCGGCAAAGTTGAACTTGGTTCCAACTTAACCAACTTGTCTCCGTAGAGTCGCCGGAGTAGACCTCTAATACAAACATGCACGTTGGCATGACGGGCGTGCATTGATCCCTCTGTTGCTTACTACCACTCATCTTGCCCATTTGTTTGTTTGTTATTTCTGATGCAGGTGATGCGCAAGTTGTCAACAAAGTACCTCACCTACTTGAATATCAGTTTGGCTTCAGGAGGTGGTATCACCACCTAACAGAAGCATGCCATGCAAAACATTTCCGAAGTTCGGACGCAGTTTTGTTTATTTTGCTGGTGGAATGATGCCACACAGCGTCTCTCCCACGTTGCGTCTTGACATCTTGCGCACCGTCGGCGTTCGCTACCACCATGTATAAGGAAATTAAACACAGCTGGTATACATGTGAGCGTACAATAGGACCAGTAAATTCAACGCAGCACGCCTACGTGCCTCGTTTGCTGAGAGAAATCATACGCTTGTCAGTCTGTAACTGTTTAAAGTTGTTTACCTGATTACAAATGTTTCTGAATTTCTCGTAGCAGTGGTAATTTCTACGAGTAATACGCACTTCATTCTGAAGTAAAATTTCGAAGACAACTTAACATATTCCTCTTGTGACGAATCACAGAAACTGTGACCCAATCTTCAACCGTCAAACTCTCCCATATTTACATCATGTGAGCCTTAGTTAAAAAAAAATTCTATAATATTTGTTTGTTTTCAGTTTGAATCCATCCTGCAGCGGTTGTGTGGCTTCCAGCATGATGATGTGACGAAAACACCAAATTTTCAGCATATGCCTGAGTAATCATAGTATCTCTGGTGTTCCTGCCAGCGTAACCTCATGAATTTCTGCCTATGTTGTAATCAAGCATCTGTGAAAGGCTTAACTGAACCAACATTATGCAAACGTAACCCATTATGCTCTACATGTAGCGAACAATACCATTGTCCGGAATGGACACTCTTTTCTTCTTTCATGTCTTGATCTCTTTTCTTTGCAATATTTAGTGTTACTCTGCGTCCATACTTTTTGTAAATAGGTACTTTGCAAGAAATTATTCATTGCTAAATGCAACTGCAACTCATAGTGTAAGTTTATTCCCGGGTATGGATTTTGTAATCCTGTAGGCCTACCTATCTGTCGCCTACCTATCTGTCACCTGTTCGCAAGAATCGGACATTAAAAATCTGACCGGCCTGACCCACCCCCTCCCGACAAAACTTTCGTGTTTACGCCCCTACGGAGGGCTGTCAGTAGGCAAGGCTAATTCCCCTGCAAACAGAATCGCTTGTAGTGAAACCACGCAGTGTACACTATCGAAGTTCAAAGAGAACTGCGAGACAGCGACATTCAGCAAGTCGGTATAGCCCATATACTACAACCTTTACATTAGGAGAATACAGTTTGAAATGGAATGAAAACAGCATACAGGGCAAGAACTAACAGAGAAGGCCCCCAGAGAGAAGCCACATCAGTGAAGCGGACCCGTTGTGGTTTTTGGAGGGGGGGGGGTTGCTGTTACTTAACGAAGACTTCAAAGAACGGACAACAGAGATCATATATGTACTTTTGTTGTTGGAGAGGGAGGCCAATTCAAGGCTGCTGTCTTAGTCCATGATACTAATGTTGAAGTAGAGATTAATTATACTGATAATGAGCTTTGACGTACATGTGTGAAAAGGAAAGAAACAACTACTTCGCAAACTCTGTCGGTATAAGGGAGTAAGTCCGGGCGGTATCAGCACTAAGTAGCAGTGTAAATATTTTTTCAGATGGGCAATAAATCACGTAATCAAAATATCTCTCATGTACATTTCAGTTTGGTTCTCAGAGGCTTTTTGATAGGTTTCGGGAACCTGAAAAGTAAGACCTATATTCTTTCAAAAAGCTGCAATGGGAGACTGACACGAGTATTACCCTACATATACGTCGTTGTGTAATTGAGAAAGCAATGAGTTTACAACACAATGGTTTCCATGAAAATAGATGGCATTCCTTAGAAAGACTGTTTATACTTCGGAGCATGCGTGTGTGTGTGTGTTTGCTTTTAATCAAAAGTCGACGCGGACTTCGTCCGTGCAGAGTGAAACTGCGTGTAACAGTCCCACATGAATGCAGTTGAATGGTCAAAATCGGTTTATGGTCAATTTTCACGGACGCAGCAAGAACCTGGTTAATCCCCACAATTTATTCATACATTCTCCTGGTAAAAAGTTGTCTTTCCCGTTGCTCCCACCTGTGGTGTGGGATTTGGTGTCAACGGCCAGCATTGTCGCCCTGTCTGATGGAGGCCAAATTCAGCCTCATGTAAGGGAGTAGTTCCCCTCGTGATTGTCCTATTCTTCTAGAGATGGGCAAAAGGGGGATGAAAAAAAAACTTTAACCTTAACCCCCTAGGGTTGAAATCGAAGGATTTGGGACTGTTGGGGTTACTTCACCTCGTGGCATTTACGCAGTGTGGTGACATGACCACAACCATCAAGTGTGAAAATACAAAGGATTTTATTTTTTACCTTTCTATTTTTGCGGGCCTGTTGGCAGAATGCCATAAGCTGCTCGATGATGAAGAACAAGAAGATTCCCATCAGCACGAAGAAACCCTTCCAGACGGCGTTGTTGGCCTGCTGCTTCTCAGCCTCTGGGGCTCCATGGGCGTGGCCATCTCCTCCCCCTTCAATCAGGGGCTTGTTTTCGTCGTGAACGTGGATACCTAGGGACTGCATCATCGAGAGTGAAGGCTTGTAAGAATCCAAATGAATACGTCTTGGAAGATCTTGTCTTAAGGAGAAACCTCAGATTCCGTTAAAGAGTACTAAATAAAAATATAATTTCCAATTCAAGTACACGGTACACATTGAGCCATAAAGGGTGGGATGGGTATGCGATATACATGTCTATCTGATAACTGATCCAAAACGGTGGTTACCTCGGCCTATGTCCATCTTAGAATTCATTATTCATCGGAAACCTTTGTGGACTCTGACAAAACTTTCTGAGAGCAACGTTCAGTAGTGTTGCACATAAGAGTTGCACAGAGCGCCTTTTTGGCATCTATATGACACCTTGTTCGAGTATTCCCTTAAGGTTATGGATGAGACTGTATTCTCGTGGTTGCATACGGTGAAGCAGTTTGTGGAAAATTGTGTGGAACATAATGCTCTCTGTTTGGTTCCCGACTCATGAAAATGGCTATACCTAGCTCCTGCGGAACCCGAGGAAGCGCCTGAAATGATAATTATGACTCACATGCGGAATGAGGTGCATCATGGCGTCGCCGGCCAGCGTGCCCACTGCCATGGCGACCAGGAAGGACAAGAGGCGGTGGTACACGTGGGGGTAGTGCTGCATGCACGGCACCACCAAGATGCAGGTGATGGAGGCCAAGCTGATGAGGGTTATTGCCGCTATGCCGTAGCCCCATACTGAAAAATGCCAGGAGGGGAAGGGAGAAGCGTGATTGACAAAATAGACACTGCTGTAATGAATTCATCGCAAGCAGATGATACCCAGTCAGACTGTGTTATGTTTAAAAAACACTACAGCCGAACACAGATAAGAGCACTGTTAACACAAGGTCGTATTTGTACAATTTTAGGTCCCAAGCCTTTTTCATTACTGCTAATACAAGGTAATTATTATAACAAGGGTATTTGTAAAGTCCTAAGGACCTTGTTATAACAGTGTTCCATTGGAATTGGAAAATAAATAATCAGGTATATTCATTTACTCGGACGCAGCACGATCCAATACGCAGCCACCTAAAATGGAACTCCGACGTTCCACGACAAAATGATGATCTTCCTATGGAACAAGTTTTTGTTTTCAACAAGCTCCTTTCCCATTCTGCTAATTCAAGAGAAAAGGAATTTAATTTTAACTAGCAACATTAACTTTTCATGGCACTCCATCCAAACCAATATCCAAACATCTGTCAGTGACGGTCAGGCCATGACGTAGTTTGGCATGACGCCAGAGTCGCACTCCGCTTCGGACTTACTGTGTGCGGCGAGGTTGCTCGCCCCGCCACCTGTCACGTTCAGATCGCGATGCTCGTGAGTGGTGTCCTCGTGGTTGTGGGTCGCTGTTCCGTGGCTCCCGTAGTCAACCCCATGACTATCGTGATCATCGCCGCTACCGTGCACATCAAACTGCATGCAGACGTGACTGTCGAGTTGTTGCAGCAGCACCGGGCACATCTGGATGAACTGCTCCTCCGTCAGGCCAGTGGCGGAGGCCGGTATCTCAAAGATATGCAGGAGTGTATCGACGGAAAGACACTGATAGAGAAAGCAGTGGCAACAAAAAAAGATGTATGGGTCGCATTTCCTTAAAAAATGAATTCACCCAAAGAGTGAGCCCACATTTCATTGAAATTCAGTACCTTGTATAACGCTAAGTGACAAAACCATGTAGGGAACAGAGGGCAGATTCCCCACCCAAGGCCTCCTCAGTTTGGAGAGTGCATTGCTTTGCAGCTACACTTTTATGCTTTTCACATGCTATGGATCCATTAACCCCTTCTCGGCCGAATTAAAAACAAAATAGATGTTGAATTTTAATCGCTTTTTCATTTCATGTTACCTGCTAAGCTTATGACTATCGCAGTAGCAAAGCTGGAAAACTTACAAATAAATTCTGAGACTTAACCTTAAAATTGTCACCACATTGCCCAAAAGCGTAAATTTATTTGAGTGTAACATTTCTCCAGCCCGTGACCAGTTTCCTTGTATTCAAATCCATTGAGACAGAACGATGTAATGCTACTCAGAATAAACAGGAGAAACTTTGTTTTTGTTCAGATTTTTGTTGTTTTCTTCTGCCACCATTTCATTTCTGGGTGCCACTTTGGGAACTTTTATCTCTCCGATCAGCTCAGTGCTTTGATAAATTACAATCTGAAGACGTATGCCTATATTTTGATGACTTCAATCCGTGATCATGTGACACTGCACACCAGGTTGTGTTGTTGTTAAAACTGTGGTTACTTTACGATGAATTGATTAGGTGACTGCATTCATAAAAAAGGGGTTTTTTTGCATTTTGTTATTACATCTATTGAACCCCTTTTTTCGATTAATTCTTTGAATATTTAATATATGTATTAATTAGGCGATACGTTTTCTACACGTACTGAACAATATAGGGTATTTTTAAAATTTTCGGTGAAATGTTTTGTAATGTCACTTAGATTTCCATTTCCAATTCAAAAGTAGGGAAATGTGCAATCGTCGTTGCTGAAAGGACACGATAATTATGCTCCTGGAATGAAAGATATGAGGTGACACTACAATGACTTCGATATTGAAATCTAATGATTTTTGAACATTATTAAATCTTACAAGCATTTTCTCATGCAGAGTTGAGTACATGCTACTCTAAACTTCGCACAGATGAACCTTTAAATGCTGAATGTATTTATGCATCGTTCACAGACATCAAAACGTGGGAAACAGATCGTGGGACGGCAGATCGAAACAACCACCATAACCTGTCATTTTTATTTTTGACATGCCATCCTTAAAATAAAAAAATGTGGCTTTATGGTTTGAAACCATGACCAACGTACCCTGCCAGACATAACAGATGTCCCAATATACCATTTATAATGTTTAATGCTATCCCGTCCTCGTTTTTACCGTGTTTTACGGCAATATATCAGGTATTACACTAGACTCCAGCATCGTTTTTTTTTTATTTGATAAACCTTTCGCAAAACGTTAATGTGCCATTGAGACGTTTACTTGTTAAGCCAATATTTACAAAGACCGACCCTCTACCATACAGTTCCATTAATGAACATATCAGTATGATGCATCAATGCAAAGAATCGACCCATTCAATTGTCAACCCGATAATCATCATCACAGCTGTCCGGCAACAAACCTGCTATGAGCCAGAGGCATCTTCAAAGACCTGTGACTGAACCCTAATAGATACTTTCTGATATTAAAAGAGTCCATTATGTCCAATCAAACAATATGTGTGAATCACTCTCCGGAAAAAACAGACATTTTCCAATGAGCTAGAGTAGATTCATACTTACGGGTATTTGTTGGTTTTGTGTCGTTTTGTTTTAATTTATACGGCAATGTGACGATGAAGAAAATGGGGAACTGACATCAAACAAATTGTTCTCCCTATGTAGGAATAGATTCCCCCATCAGACAAAATGATATTGAAGTCTAGTAGGCCTAAATAAATATATATTATGTTTCCAAACAGACACACCTTCGCGAACTTACAGGGAAAAGGCAAATGCCCTGCACGTCACTGCACTGAAATGGAACTATACAGCTCGTTTACAATCAAGCACGATGTAAGTTTGGCACTTCGTATTTTTCAACGGTTATTACTCTAACACTGCAATATTTTCCTGCTTAGTTGCGAAGTTGCAATGGCCCTGTAACGTCCATCGCAGAAAAAATAGGTAATACATAACTCGAATTTAGCCACCGACTGCAGTTTGCGTTATATGGGCAATATATCCACATTCGTAAAATGCGAAGTGTCCAAAGCCCGGATATTGAAATATGTCAATGCTATTGCCTGCATAGCGTCATGAAGATCGTGTTGTCCAAAGGCTAATTTAAAAGGAGATTGAGTCAAATTTGACGAGAATTGGTGTCATCACGTCCGTGGTTTTGAGAGTGATACGCCCATTAAAAGTGGCTTTTCCAGCTACTTCGCCAATTTAACACATGATATGCAGTTTAGAGGCTTTCGATGAAATGTATGCACATGCAGAGGAGGCTCGATATATGTAAGTTCATACTCAAACGCGGATATGTGACGTTAAAGGTCAGTGCCCTACGCAGAGATTCGCGGAACATTGAGGGCTAGCCATTTTGTGAAGAGTGACTGTATTAAGTAGGCCAGTTACGACTTCACACGAAAGCACATGCGCCGAACACAAACGTGAATGAGTGACATCACATCAAATATTTGCTGCAAATTCGTCGAAGTTGAAATCATTTCAAGCCGGGAGAAAGTTCGCTGCAAATCTCTCTCAACGTCAAATTCGCTTGGCTTTCGCATCCGCCTGTAGTATTTCTGTTCCGTTAAACAGAATCCAGACCTTTCGGGGGTTTTATCATTTTACTTGCATGTTCACCGATACATATCCTTTGTGGAGGGAATTAACACGCCTTACGTAAGTTCCTGAAATAGCAACCCAGGGTAACAGATTGGTAACAGTTTACTCTTACGTTTACATCGACTTATCGAATATTGTGACATTGGTAGAAATCATGGCATAGCCATGGAGGTACCAACTGTAAAGTTTGCAGTAATAATGAAAAGGCATTAGTCAAATGGAATTTCCGGTGTTCTCACAAGGACGCTTGTCGGGGTTCTGGTAACTTTTTCTTCCTGGAAAGGTTCAATACTAAGTTGTGCTGTGGTCTCAAACTCCCCACACTGCGTTGGTAAATTTCTGGAATTTGGCAAAGTAACTGCGTCGGGTGCTCTCGACACGTTGGCATCTTCCATTTGTCTCTGTGGAGTTGTCTACAGGCAAACAAATGTCGTGTCAATGCTTTTTCAAACGTCCATGGTAGGTGATTTATGACGTGACAGTATGCTTTTTTGATGAATCCATTTCCTCTGGGGAAGGAATGGCGCACTGGCCTTCACACTCAAAGCTAGAAAGGTTCAGCCGATAGACCTCAGGCTATAAAGGTTCAACCGCGTAGACAAAAACTGTAATGGACAGGTAAAGGGATTTAAATTAAATCTTCGAACTTCAAACGGAAATTAATCGAATTAAACCCTTTATATGCCCAATTTTGCCGTATAGACATTACCCACCAACTTTGAGGCAGGTCATTTGATTTTGTTGAAACAAAAACGTTTCGTTTCAGCGGTGGTTCTCGGCACACGTTTTGAAAGGCTGTAATTACACTGGCAAAGTCCAATTCACTATGTTTAGCAGGATTTTCATTTTCAGGTGGGGGGGGGTCAAAGGGGCGGAGGAAGTGTTGAAATTCACTGGGCAAGGGTGTAATAACGGCATAACTTCTACCCATGCTTGACAATTTGGATGAGTTGTTGACGGCCCAACCACTCCTCTGATATTAAAAGAGTCCATTATGTCCAATCAAAAAATATGTTTGAATCACTCTCCGGAAAAAACAGGCATTTTCCAATGAGCTAGAGTAGATTCATACTTACGGGTATTTGTTGGTTTTGTGTTGTTTTGTTTTTATTTATACGGCAATGTGACGATGGAGAAAATGGGAACTGACATCAAACAAATTGTTCTCCCTATGTGGGAATAGATTCCCGCATCAGACAAAATGATATTGAAGTCTAGTAGGCCTATATAAATATATATTATGTTTCCAAACAGACACACCTTCGCGAACTTACAGGGAAAAGGCAAATGCCCTGCACGTCACTGCACTGAAATGGAACTATACAGCTCGTTTACAATCAAGCACGATGTAAGTTTGGCACTTTTTATTTTTCAACGGTTATTACTCTAATACTACAATATTTTCCTGCTTAGTCGCAAAGTTGCAATGGCCCTGTAACGTCCATCGCAGAAAGAAATAGGTAATGCATAACTCAAATTTAGCCACCGACTGCAGTTTGCGTTATATGGGCAATATATCCACATTCGTAAAATGCGAAGTGTCCAAAGCCCGGATATTGAAATATGTCAATGCTATTGCCTACATAGCCTCATGAAGATCGTGTTGTCCAAAGGCTCATTTAAAAGGAGATTGAGTCAAATTTGACGAGAATTTTGAAAGGCTGTAATTACACTGGCAAAGTCCAATTCACTATGTTTAGCAGGATTTTCATTTTCAGGTGGGGGGGGGTCAAAGGGGCGGAGGAAGTGTTGAAATTCACTGGGCAAGGGTGTAATAACGGCATAACTTCTACCCATGCTTGGCAATTTGGATGAGTTGTTGACGGCCCAACCACTCCTCATGCATGACGACCATCAAAAGAGCGGGCATGCAAACGAGGACAAATTGATCCCACCGGGCATAAAATGGCATCAACACGGAGACTGTCCGGTCCACTCACGTGTCGATTAAAGCGACCTGGTCCGGAGGGTGGCCACCGACGTTCACTGGAGCTCGATGAAAGATCACAAGGTTAAAATCACACGTCAATCACGTCCGCTCTTACACATTCTATCTAAATATTAACAGGGGGCGTATTAAGCATTTCTTTCGAAAGTAAAACGAAATGAATACGTAGGGATTCCTCTTGGGGGAAAGCAAACACCGTGCGGACATCCCACAAGTTCAAGGGATCGATCTATATTATTAAATATCATGTCAACAGCTGCGGCTTCCCGAGACTTTTCTGGTGTTATCCAAACAGCAATCGCTGTGAACTTCTCACGAAAGACATCCGAAAGACAGACCAACTTGTGGGATGTACTGAGTAGGTCCACGTTTTTTTCCCTCTAAAGTTCAAACCTCCACGCCAGCCGTCTAACCCCCATGGGCTGAAATTCAGCCAACTGTTGTGTGATGTCACGTCAGCGGGATACGATCGGGTTCAAAGGCCACCCATTGCCAGATTGAAAACGCCATGAAATTGGTTAAGAAAATAAACAAGGGCATTAGCGCGTATTGCGTGATGACGACTATGCTAATGGTTGTTCCAAGTGGCGAAGGGTAAAATACCTGTGACAAGTTTAATCGGCTCATGCTGTTGAATCCTGCGCACTGCACTAGTGCGAAGTTGCAGGTTTCCAATCAGTGCTGGATTCATATTAAGTCGGGGGAACTTGGGGAGAGTCTTCTTCAGATGAATCCAGTATCCAGCCAGCATCCCGCTTTTTGTACCAGGTACCGTTATGGCTAAGGGTGTGCAATCTTGCCTTTTGTTTGCGAGGCCAAACTGTAGAAGGAACGGATACTGAAGTTTCCAATCGCTATAGCAGTTCCCCGAGTATGACGTTTCCCGAGTTCCTTTACTTTAATTCTGATCAAAGTTTCAAGTACTTTAGAAAAGTTCCAAAGTTATGATCCACACATGCTCGGGTTGTGTTCATTAAACGTTTTCCTGTCCAATACTTCTTTATCTTATTTACTTTATTCTCAAATTTTACTTTGTTCTAAAACTTCAACCTCAATTTAGTTTGGATTAGATAAGCCGAGATTAAGTTTCCGTCATCTGCCACCAACTTCACAATAATTGTTTTGTCATTGCTGTTGCAATATACAGACTATCTTTAAGTCAGAACGCTCGCTATTCACGACAATGTCTCTCGTGAAAAGAATCACCAACAGTGCTTTACAATGGAACACAACGGGATATATGCCCTCCCGCAGTTTTCTAAAACCACTTCGCAATGTTGGACCTGTTCCATGGTAGAGCCCGGGTCAAATTGCAACATTTTCTCAAATTTCGAAAGTCTTTCATTCGCATCAGCAAGAAGGAAACGGAACGAAGTTAATTCTCCCTGGCCCGGTATTCTACGCCGGTAAAATGAAACCTTGACATGGACAAATGGCACTGTTCTGCAACAGCGAGAGGATTTACCCGTATAATAATAGGAGAAAATTGAGAAATGAAATGTTAACATGAAATTGTGTAATTACACCCCACGAAAGTGCGACTTGAACGAAAGGACCAAAAGATGCACGAGTGAATAAACGAGCAGCAAGTTGACTGATTCCGAAGGTAACATTTATAGCTCAATTAACAACTGACGCCTGCAAAGTATGGATAATACCCCCGACATATAGCAGAAATTACAGCCTCATTATGTAGACTAATCCAATGAGACGCCATAACTGCGGTGGCACCACACTCACACGCACATTCTTCTGCTTGATGCGCGCGTGCGTTTGGCATATCACAACACCTTATCGGTCGAAGGGGCATGCAACGCGCGCGTACCACCTGTCCACGAGTGTTGTGCCACCGCAGTAATGGCTTCTAATTCTGGTGGTCGTCGCATCTATGAAATCTCACTTCAGATTTCCCATGGTTAGTGGATACTTGTTTGGACTATGATGCTGCCAACGCGCCAATGCCCTCAGATCTAGTGATCATTACTTCACTGCATGCAGGACATGATCAACGCAAGTCAATTCCCAGTTACGGCACATGGGCATCTCTAACAGATGCCTGTGGGAGACTCGTCTCCAACGGATGCCTTCGGGACACACGGTTGGAACACAAAAATGAACCAAGTTTGTTATACATGTACCTTCGATTATTTTTGGAATGGAGCCGCGATCCACATGTACAAAATATATTGGATGAAATGAATTTAATCCAGTATGTATTATCATCTTGCCCAAGTTTCAGTGGGAGAGAGTGAAGTTTCATTATTTGGGCAAGTCATATACACGTGTATCGAATAATCGCAGCAAACACGCCCATCTCCTCACGACAATAAAAACTTTTTTTTCCTTTTAGCAACATGGACGTAAATCAGGCCTTTCACGTTCACAAGGGTAACCCACAGGCGAAGCCCAATTCCCTCGTGTGGGTAAAATATTGCTTCTTTGTAATGAGTGGAGAGCAGGTCAAAGTATAAGACACTGATACAAGGTTTATGGTTACCTCCACATCGCAAATACTGCACAAGACTTAATACATGAAAATGCCAGGAGTATCGCGATGTGTGCACAGCTCGGTATTCAACAGTCCACTTCATCCACTTTCCATGTCTGTCCCACATAAAATCAATCGTGAGATGATGGAAGCACTGACATGAAAATAATACGTGTGATCTCTATAAAACGGGATTATTCGAGGCCTTTCGCTCATTACTAAGACAGGGAGCGGAAAAGGGGTAGAAGCATGGCTTTTCCCCGACATTAAACTCCACAGACGACAGGAAATGCTATAAAAATGTGATTCTCAACTGGTCTACTGTCAGAGTTACTTTTGGACACGAACTTCCTACTTCAAGGCACCCATTCATATACGTCAAGGCAAGATTGCGGGATTATTCTCACAGCAGCCGGGGCAGTACGCCGTTATGCTTGAAACTTACACAACCTCTTCTGCCAAGACATCTGTTTTACACATGACTTTGAGACCAGCTGGCCACCGTTTTCACATTGGCAGATAGGCCTAACCCTAGCCCTCTTTCCCGCCCAAGCCCGTAACCCTGAGTGTGTTTTTTTGTGACTTAAAAACAAATAAATCTGCCAAAATTTAATGGGTTAGGGTTAACTATTCCAACTGGACACTTACGACGATTTATTTCATCTGACAACTCACGTCACTTATTCCGTTTTCCCCCTTGAAATTCAAAGCTGCAGCGCTTTTGAACTTTTCCGCGGGGACGCACGATTTTACCTCCTTAGAGAAAGTGCGCTGACTTTGTGACTATTAAGTAGGCCAGGGTGACAAGCCATGTAAACATGCCATTGGTCAAGACTGCAGGTTCATGATACTTTTATGGTATACAACGTAAACGCGATTCGTCGACTTCGGCTTCATTTAATTTTGTACAGACATATTAATTGTGGTTTGACTGTGGAATTACTCAGTGTGTAGAATTTATCTGACAGCTAAAAGAGGTAATAATGAAGTGAGTTGAAAGTCGAAAACCAGCTGAAAAGGGTCATTGGCGAAACACAACAGCACTATCAGAGGTTGAGAAATTATCATAATTATAAAGACTTTCCGATACTTTTTTGTTTATCTATTCAATAAACCGATGAAACCGAGTTACCGAATACAAAATACTCACATTTGCTCACAAGTCAATTCTATTCTTAAAGTCAGTTTTACGAAATAATTAAATAGGCTACAATGACAACAGTTTGTGTTTCGTCCTTATAAAAACTAAAAGTGCACGATGCATTGTTTGATTTGTTACTAGTTAATATACCCTGAAGGGAAAACGATATGAGAAAGTCCTTGTTTCGTTCAAAAATGCATTTTTCAAAATCCAGAATGTTATTAAAATAAATTACATTTGCCTGTATTTAAAAAGGAATAACTTCATTTTTCTTTTGGCAAATCAAAAGCATTTATAATGACTGCAATACGCTCGACCATTTTTCTGCACGTTTACCGTGATCAAGTGACTGGATTTAGTCCAACATGTATCCATGAGCGGGGGTTTTTCACACGCTCGCCTGTTACTTGAGATTGAGTGGGAGGTTATCCTATATATTAAGAAAACTAGACATGCTGGAGGCCTCGATGGATTGAATTTTGCAGTGTCAGGCGCAAAAGCAAGTTCGGGCAAGTGAGACAAAAGTGAAATGACATTGTACCGAACCTATCGTACCTGGGTTAGATGACCGTGCTCCCGTTCGTCTCTGACCGCAGTGGGTCCTCCAAGTTCCATCTCATCATGATGTCCACGATGCATTGCCTTGGTCACCCCTGTACCTGATCCGAGAAGCCCTTCTTTATGGTGTTGGTCCTCCGCATGGATGGGTCCAATAGAGGTTGGTTCGGCATCCTCGTGGGTCGTTGCCTCCTGCAGTGCACTTAAACAATCGTGGTGCTCAACGTGACGGTGATGAGTGGGTCCATCCTGACCGGCTCCCTCCAGCTCACGGTGGTCGTGGCCCCCAGGCCCTGGGCCGAGCCCGATGCTGCCCATGAGCAACGAGAACCCCTCCAAGCTCAGCCACCCGTCATTGTCTCCGTACTTATCGAACAGCTGCCGTATGAACTCCTTTTGCTCATGGTGGTCCAAGGGCTGCTGACCGTGAGTCAGCTGGTAATGATCTTGTGCCTCTGTGGGGTGGGGATCATTTGCCTCGGCAGCAGTGCATCGAAGAGGAGAAAAGAGCAACAGACCAGTACTCATCACCAGCGTGAAGGTCAGTGACAAAGTTGAAAATACCCATTCTCGTTTCATGATTTTCCTTGCACGTGTTCCAAAACGTAAATTTTTAAATATACCTTGTATAAATCCGTTATAGCACGCGACTATATTAGGCCTATAGTTACGCTTGCGCCTTCCTGTTGGCGTTACCTTTGTTTTTCTTCTTTTCAAATTCGCAGGTGAGCGCGGCTCAAAGTTAACAAAGAAAAGTCAAGGTAGATTTCCTTCAAGAGAAAAGGGAAAGCGATGACCGATGAGAATTGAAAGAGTTGCCTATTATCACAAAAAGCTATTTTTTTCATACTCAGTAGAATTCGTGTCCGCCGAGGAGTCGAGTGTTAGCTTTTGGACAAGATGCCCTCCCACGAGCTTCTTATATAGCTCCGCCACAACAGTGCAGTCACTTTTTTTACAACACGGTGCCCTACACAGCCTACAGCTTGACTTTACAATCCACATCTTATCCACCACGTGCATGCATTACCGCGCTTGTAGAGACAAAGGCGGGGATGTGCACTGCACCATCTGTGAAAATTGGGGGCAAGCCGTCCCTGCTTGGTGGAGCCTATGGGCCTACACACCACGTGGAGCCGACCTTACCAAACGTCAAGTTCGTCCAAACTTTCCGAGATTTGCTGGAGCGGTTGAGCGCGTTTTCCGCACGGACCAAACATTTATCGACGTGCCGTGTGCAAGAGCTCCTTCCAAAATGGCGTGCCGTGTGGAAAAATTTTATTATGCCCGTAATGAGCGCATGCGTTCTACGTGTCAGTGACGTGTCAGTTTAGTCTTACTACCAGTCGTAACTATGTACACGACCTAAAATAAAAAGAAAAATAAATCGAAATTTGTTAAAATATGTTCTTAATTGAATTATTAGTACATTTAATTAAGATTTAAGAGCGTGAATGAAATATTTAAGTCATCCGGTCATTCAGGTACTGGATATAAGTTAGTGATGCAGTTTGCGTGCCTCTCGGCGTGCTTACGCCAGTGTACGTGTACGTGTATTACGCCCAACTATGGCATCATTCCCAACTACAATTGGGACGGTCCTGTTGCGCTGTAGTTGGGTTGACCCAACTATCTCATCCATTGAATTAATATACTCAAGAATTTCAGGTTATCACGCCCACACGGGATTTTTCATGCTATAGAATAAAATATATATAAATATAGATAGATAGATTACAAATTAACAAACGTGGTCCACGTTTATTTTCATAGCCAGAGGCGATGTCGATCTTCAGCTCAAGAATTGACTGAAATGGTCAGATATTTTCTCAGATAGAATCACAGAATGTCTGTAATAAAAAAAATCATAAAGGGTCCAGAAGTTCAATATAATCGCCCATGGCAAAAGCTTACATTTGAACAGGAACTGACATTTGAAAAAATGGTTTTCTGGCTTTTTTGTTATTCTTGAACGTTCTCCAAAGTTTCCTCTTGAATTTGGATTTCCCCGAGATCCTTAAATTTTTCATTTCCTTGAAGATTTCCTTAGGACGAGAATTTCCTTAAAATAGGCGAATCTCCTTAAAACAAAAGTGGAAAAACTGTGCCCGTTCCTGGCCCCCACCCGCGCCATGCCCAGGCCCACGCCAGCAAACGCTGTCCTGTACATGTGCATGTACAGTACGTGTACGTTGGGCTGGCCCAACTGTCACAGGACCGTCCCAACTATAGCTGAGACCCCCAACTAAAGTTAGGACAGATTGGGGCGTGCACGTGACAAACGTAATCGGACAACTCGACTGTATAAAAATGGCCAGCACAAGAGCTGGTGAGCATGTGCTCATCATCAGTACAGTTTCAGTTCTCTGTATCATTGGGACTCACCTTGAGTAACGTAACGGGCCCAGGCTGCCTGTGTTTTTAGTATCGGAAAATTTATCTTGTTACTTGTAAGCATGCAGGATGCAAATTGAGTGTTCGGCTCCGACTGTAGTTGTGGCCTATGTAGGGGTAGGCCTTAGTCCCGTGATGACCATCTAAAAAATGACCCTGGTAAAAATGCAACTAGGGGAAACGTGGGAGCAGTGTTAAGACAAAATTAAATATTTGTTTTAAAAACTGGGTCAAAATCGTCATGGATGAAAGTCCAGATCAGCTGAGCTTACTAGCAATGGATTTGCCTCGGCACATTGAACACAGTGCAAGCAAAGATGACTCGGCCGTGGTAAACGGTCGGACGAAGTCCATCTACTGCAAACCAGCTTTAGACCAAACCAATTTGTTATCTCACCAGCGTTCGTTTGCAACTTCTCGGTCTCTTCAGGAAAGCACGACTATGAAGAGGTTTTGGAGGAAAAAGAGAAACCCGAACTATGGAACCGAACAGCCCGCCTCCGCGATCGTGACGACCGGGTTGGCCACGGGTCGCGTCAGCGGCGATATGGATCCCTTCCCACCGTACCTTCCGTCCTCGAACGATGTACCCACCGATGTACCGGCGTATTACAGCCAAGATTCCCCAGCACGCGCCAGCAACTACAGTGATCGAGACGACGAATCCTTGTTGAATTTGAGTTGCAGAACAGATGTCGATCATTGTCACGCTGCATCTTCCAGCAGCGGGCCTGATACCACCTCCAACCGGCGGGCCCAGAGGCAGCTGATGTTCGCAACCGTCGTCTGCTTTTTGTTCATGGTTGGCGAGCTTGTTGGTAGGTACTTAAGGGGAACACGAAAGCGAAGCAAATTCGACGTCACAAACTATTTGCAGTATAAGTTGCTTGAGTTGAAATGTGTCTTACGAATCCCCAGCTCAAACATCTGATGTGACATCACATTTTTTTTCTCTCTTGTTCACTTTGGCGCTAAGTATGATCTGGCCAGGCTATATCATCTTTCACACTTCAGAGCCATAAATTTCAAGGGAAAGGTGACTCACATGGAAGGGATGGACAGATTTTTGTACTGGATTCACGTACGATCCACTGATTGCACACACTGCATTCATTATTAAATTAAAACAACATGTCATGACCATTTTAGGGATATAAACCAAGGATCTTATTCAGTCCACCTGTTTGAAGCATCCAAAAAATGGAAATTAACCATTTTTCTCTGATTATGTCAAAAGACCACACAAGAGATGACCGATCTTCTCTGTCAGACTGTTCGTGCAAAACCTCATTCGTCACTGCATTAAGTGTGGGCTTATTTGATCTGTGCTGAACTTTGAGAGTTAATTTTGAAAGTGAAATAAAGCTTGATCCTCAATTAATGTTAGGTTAATATGAGCATTCTGTCCGCTGTTCTTTTTTTCAGTATGCTCTCAGTCTCAGGAAGTTGGTATCCTACACAGAGCCATTAACGTGTACATGTAATATAGGCTATATACATGTATAATCTTGTCATCACTAATTCACTTTATATCAGTTCACCAGATGATTTTTTTCGCAGTATACACTATGCGGGAATTTATGAATATCATGCAAGGACATTCTTTACACGCTATCTTGATGTAACCTTTCACTATTTATACATGTATGCAGTTTCAGAATCAGTTCCGTTATTGGCCGCAGATAAGCAGAGTGTGATCAAATGCCACAACCTGTGTAGTGTACCTCTGTAGACTATTTCTCATGTGCTCAAATAGCAAACGGTACATGCAACTTCTGAAGCGATTTTACATGAATATTTTCTAATAGGGCTAAGTCAATTCAAATAATTCACAATTTGAATATTCGACCTCAATTTGATCAAATATCTGAATATACGAGATCAGTTGCAATAACGCACACAATTGTACATGTACATTATAATCACTATAATAGCTTCTCACGTCCGTGAGTATCTCCAGACATGATTTAACAAGATTTAAGAGACGAATTACTTGTTTTCCTGTTGAAAATTTATATTCCTTTAAAATTTTTGTAATGAATAATGTATTTTTTGAATCACTGTAAGGTTTCTGTTGCCGTTCCTTTGAATTTGCCTCCATAGTGCAATATAGTGCAATATTTCTCCTTAAAACAAAAGAAAATTTTCCCTTCCTTTTCATGAATTTTTGCACTCAAATATTCAAATTTGAAAAATAATTTTTGATAGTGGATCGAATACTTGGATATTCGGATATTTGGCACAGCCTTATTTTCTAATTGCAATTTATGGCTTGGACAGTGTTCTGGACCAAATTGGTGACATACATATACGTGTAGAAAGTGAATAGAAAAAGAATTGTGTAGGTGATCCATGTCAGAAAAAATGTACTAACTGAAACACTATAATATGTCCCACAGTCTTTTCGTTCACCGGGAATGAAGTGGTTACCAGTCACTGGGGATTAAATGGTTACCAGTGAGTGAAATAGAGCGTGGTTGGTCATAGCAGTTCATAGTTTTTGTGTTGCTTTCACTTTTCAATACCTTCCACGGAGGTGATGCCTGTTGATTTCATAAATCTGTAGGACTATACTATGTCCATTGGTGAGAGATTCTTTTACGTGCATTTCCAAATTTCCATTGAGATTGTGTTGTCGTTTCGCCGACAGGGGGATGGATCTCAGGCAGTCTTGCCATCATGACAGATGCAGCTCATCTACTCAGTGACTTCACCAGCTTCCTCATCAGTTTGTTTGCATTGTGGATAGCACGGCGCCCCCCTACGGCCAAGATGTCTTTTGGTTACTTTCGAGCAGGTTTGTATTAATACTCAACAGTGAAATTTGCATCTATGTAAACTATACCCCCACACCTCCCCCCACCCTCCCAAGAAAAAAAGGGAGGCGCTGATTTCAGCCTTTTGTGGGTTAATCTTGAATAAAGATCTGGTACACCGAGGTATCTGATTGCATACAAACATAACATTTTGAATTACCCTGACTAAAGATGCTGTTGCTGTACCTCATGATTCGGGGCAAGCTTTCGCATAGCAACCACCATATCTGGAACGGACTGGTTCCTTCGTTCCCCTCTTATCCATTGAAAACAGTATTGTTGCAAGGCATCTCAAAAGCTTGCCCCGAATCAAGAGGTATAGCAACAGTGTTTCAGTATGGAGAATTCAAATTATACATGTATGTTCAAGTGAATTTAAAGAACTCAGTGTACCAGATTGTATTCAAATTTAACTCACAGGAGCATTAGATCCTTGTCTGCAGTGGCTTGTATCTGTGCTGGTTAGTTTGAAGAATGGGATATGACCTAAATCCTAAAATTTTCTGGCTGTAAAAGGAGAAGAGGGGGGCACCACATTCTACTAAGGCACAAGGTTAGCATGCAAACGGTTTGCAAACTGTCCTGTGGTTCATACGTGATAAGCCCCTCAAACGGTTAGTGAACCCCCGAATGGTGCACAGAAGCCGGCCTAATGGTTCATAGTCGAGTATGCTGGACCGCGGAAGAGTAAAAGTGCATTTTACTAGTACTGTGAACAGTAGGCAGCATATCAGACAACCTGTTATTGTGTCTGCCAGGTCTACTCGTGCACTCATTTCATAAGAGCATTTGTTTACACCATTACCCTTCAAGCTACAACTTGACAAACCCTATTGTTAGCAGGTCACCTGTAAAGCTACAGTTAAAAGAGTGGAAAGCAGTTCTGCTCAATTGTACAGTGGTCCCCTTCTAGTTGGCCAACAGTTTAAAGAGAGATTCTGGGCTTTTCTGGCCATTTGGAATTTTGACCTTCAGCCTACAGGGCGCCATTCACAATGCTTCTATACTGTATATGTGCATCCACATCTTACTTGCACGTGCACATTTACATACATATTAGCTTTGTGTGACACATTCAGAATTCAAAAGGAATTCATTTGTCCACACCATTTTCACACAATTTGGCAGTTTTAAAGTTCAGAAATAACCTCAAGATTGGCATTTGTGGTTCTCGCCACGGAGTGCCCCCTCTGTTCTTGCACAGCTTGGAGCTAATGCTTCTCTGATACCTTTGGTACACGTATGTCCCCAGACATCCCCAGTCCTGGGGCATTCCTTGTCCCTGGATATCATCAGCCCTGATATCATCAGCCCCCCACTGACCCAGAGCCCCTGGTGTCCCAGGTCGCCTGATGTTCGGTGTGTCTCCGATTGTCAATTATTCAAAGTCTCAGCATCAGGGTTGTGGCCACAGTGCACTACACATAACCAATTAATGACTATGTTCCATTCTGATTACCCAGAAATCCTTGGTGCTGTGGTCAGTGTACTCATGATTTGGGTGGCTACGGGTATCCTCGTGTATCTGGCTGTTCAACGCTGCATAACCCAGAAGTATGACATCCAGGGAACGGTCATGCTCATCACTGCTGGCTGCGGACTTGGTGTAAATATTCTGTACGTAATTCTGCCCGATTTTAAACAGAATAGTACGCTTGTAAAATGTAACACTGATGAAATGTTAGCATCTGCAGTGCAGGCAGGTAGAAAGGAGAAAAAGTCGTCAAAGTCGAGTCAAGTATCATTCAAATGAATGATGACAAAGGTGTTTCTTTCTTGTTGTTCACGGTCTAGTCTGTCGTTCTGGGCTGTTTTCAAGGGAACTCTTTTTGAGTGTACACGGCCAGGAATACGGCCCATAGATGAATGAGAGTATATTCTCGATCATGCAGGGGGTATACTCTTGCATCACCTGGGGCCAATTTCATAGAGCTGCTTAAGCACAAAATTTGCTGAAGCGTGAAAAAGCCTTGCTTTTCAAATCAGGTTACCAGCAACAACTCCATGTGATGTATGTTGTTTTGGAATGGTATTCAGCTGTCGTTTGGTTAGCATGACAATCATGTAGATTTTGAGCTGGTAACTTTTGTTTTTTAAACAAGTTTTTTTGCGCTTAAGCAAATTTTGTGCTTTAAAAGCAGTTCTATGAAATTATTACAAGATGACAGAAAGGTGATAGTTGTGTGTGATGTACATGCAATGGGACAGTAAGGTGGATGGGAAAGAACACGGACCCTGGCCCTTTCCCAAAGAAGAGCCCCCCATTTTCTTTTTTAAATTAAAAGGGAAAGGCAGTTTTTCAGCCTATTTCGTTCCCCTCCTTTCACAAAGTGTGTAAAAAAAAAACCCAAAATATAGCCACACGTGCGAACGCATCCAAGTATACACCCATTGCCAAACGGTGCTCATGTTACTCAAAGAAAGGAGCCCAGTCACCCGGCAAATAACGTGTATGTAGCTTTTCTGATCAGACCATTCACGTTAGGCATAGGAGTGTGGCACAACCTCAAAGGACGCTGTCCAATCAAAGATGCCCTTGTTTCAACCATAGTACTGTAGTTGCACAGACCAAATATCTTAGTTACTGGTACATGTAGTCAGTGAATAATTGACCAGTGACTTTTATACTTGACGTCATTTGGAATGCAAAAGTGAACCAAGACTGCAGTGATCGTACTTAAGTTCAGAAAAGGCCTTTTTCCACTGTATCCAAGCCCTATTGAAGTCACTTCCTGTTTCTGTCATTGAACAAACCCTGTTACTATTAGGTGTTGAAACGACTTATATCTTTGACTGTCCAGCTCTCACAAGATACTCCCACAGAAGGACAAACACAGTATCAAATGCATGTACTACTTGTCAGGTTTTTTCTCGTCAGGACTAAGTAACCTTGCTGGGCCAGGTATCTGCAATACACTGTGCCTATTGTCAACTCTTGCCTGCAAATCTGAAGAGATGCGATAACAAATCACCAGTGATGCACTTAAATTATCATCCCAAGTTGGAATTTGACCTCACAAGGCTAACCTCATTGTCAGTTATCATGGGTGGAAATGTCATAAATAGCAAGGGCTATCCAGTGCGGTAAATGGCTACATTAGTTTATGATGCATGGGGCATACATTTTGTTGCTGACGTACTGTTCATGTATTCTAATCCGTGCCATACAGTACAAGGACTGTTTATATTTGCAGCACAGTGTACATGTACATCATATACACGTACATATGTGTCAATCTGCAAGCAGTATAAACAAGTACACATTTATACACTTACCGATACCTGTAATGTAAATTAGCAAAACCGGAAAAAAACCGAGGTGAAAAAGCATTATAATGTATGTTGATATCAGCATTGCAATACGAAAAAACAATTTCAATTGATGATTTTTAGTAACTTTCAGAGCTCCCATGAATAAAGAGAGTTTTGGTTTTTAGAAATGTGGTATTGACAGCATATTCTAGTATGCACGGAATATAATATACAAATAGATATTCCGGTTTCGGGAGTTGCTGGGGCTCTTCATCCAGTGGATTTTATAATTTCCTGCTTACCATGAAAAGACCTGCGTTGGTAAAAAAAAGAAAAAATCTAGCATTATTCATTTGCATTTGTGCACAGGATATATATATATATATATATATATATATCCTGTGCACATATATATGAACGCTCCTGTTCTGAGGTTATTGTGGCTGTTCATACAATGGCTTTGGTTTCGTGTTTTTCATAAAAAAACCCTGCTTTGTTAAAAGGATAAATCTGGTGCTGATTTATTTGCATTTACACACTGGATATATAGACATTCCAGTTTGTGGGTTCTTTGTCCAATGGATTAATTATTTCCTTTTCTTGAAAAACCTGCATTGTTAAAAAAAAGATATTGTTCATTTGCAGTTTTGCTTGGATATATAGACATTCTAGTCTGGGGCTTTCTGTTTGTCCAATGGATTTAGTTCCTTGCCTTCCATGAAAAGACTTGCATTGTGAAGAAATGCCTAGGACCGGAAGGGAAAAAATTCAAGCATTGTTGTTGTTATTTACTGAGGGCAAACTTTCATGATGTCTATGAGAATTTGCATGAGAATTTACACATTGGGTGTGTAGTTTGGGTGTGTAGGCAATAGTGTGGGTTTTTTTTTTATAGAATTACAGTTTCCTTTGTGAACAAAGTATTTTCTTATCCCGAAAGAGATAAGAGCAGTTTCATGAACTTTCATAAAACTGTTGCATCTTTAATGAAATTAAACTGAGTTGTTCTCCTTCCAAAAGATACAGTTTCCTAAGCATTCACAAAGCTGCAACTTTTAAGAGGCTAAACTGAATAATCACAGTATATTTCATGTAGTTTTTGTAAGCTTGCAAAAACTTTCACCATTTGGCCCAGTTTTATCATTTTTCCCCCCTGGAGAAAGAAGAGATGTCATGATCAGAGATTTTGATGATATTTAATTGTTTTTGGTTTGGCACAATTTTTTTAATTCCACTTTTGCCCTTTCTTGTAAATAAAAGGCACGAATCTGGTTCGTTCCCCTTATTACAGGACCAAATTAGGGTGGACAATTTGAATTATCCACAGGGGAATTATTCCAAGAAAAAACATGAATTTACTGTTCACATAGCTTTTATAAACTTATAGTCTCCCTTATAGCACTACTCTGCAAATCTATGATTTTGTTAAAATGAAAACTGACATTATGAGGTTTCAGGATTTTGGGGGGAGGGGGTTGCAACTATCAAACTATCTCTCAAACAAATATTTTTCAAATGATTCCTCTTTAGAGTAAAAATAAGTGCTTTTGGCAATTGGCTCTACCCTATTTTTTAAATGGACCGAATGCCTAGCCTTTTATGAAGTCCACCAGCCAAAAATGATGCTATCCACAATTTTAACAGACGGTCAAAATGCCTAACCCTTTATAAAAGTCGCATTTTCAACCAAAAATAATACTATCCACAAGTGGATAAAGTTCAGGCGGTTTTGTGAGCCATCAATCTGGTTTTTTTTGCATCAGTAAGCCTACATCTACATGTAAATCCAAGTGCATTTTCTTAAAAACAGTCAGCTCCTCCTCTGTGTAGTAAGCCAGTGGCATGGTCTTGGGTCTGTTGATAGCAGATGTTTCAGTAATCAATGTATGTATCAGAAATCCAGTACCAAGTACATGTGCATGTTGATCGTTTTTCATGCGCAGTATGAAGGCTAAACACAGAGGTTGATACCAAGTGCAATCAAGTGAATTAAGTAGCCTGTCATTGGTTTGGGGTTGACCCACTAAAGATATACCTGCACTTGATCCAAAAATATATATCAGGGCACTAGTCCAGATGTTGCTTTCTATCTAATTCCCATTTGATATTTCAATATTTCCAGCATCAAATTTGTCAACAATAGGATATAACTAAAAATCTGATATTGTTAATTACTATCAACGTAACAAGTATCAAGTGATATCAAAATATTGATGGACCCTAACACACTCTTTGTGCTTGAACTTGTTAAGGAGAATCAAATCCAATGTAAAGTACATGTACCTCAGCAACTAGCTTCCTCAATCATGCACACTCTTTCTAACCTCAAATGTTTGAAAGAGGCTGAGAGTTACTCACCTGCAAAAAATAGTGCATATACGTATTTTTGTTCTGTATGCTGTCAAGAAGGCTGAATGGCCCTATTTCTGTGCAAGCATTCATATGTGAGCACACACACCGTAGCATTTCAAGCGTGAGGTGGCAAAAAATTAACTCTCTTTTACCAACTAACGTGCATGTACAGTTGGTTTCTGGCAATGTACATGTCAGGTTCATATACATGTACACGTACAACAATCCAAAATAGATGTCATCCTACTAGTTACTGACACCGGCTCCTGCACAGGTAGTTCATGCCTTTTTCACCAGGAGCCTGTTGTGTCTGGTGAATGAGCCTTATCCTCCGGTCAGCCATGTTGAATTGAAAACAAAGTGATCCCAGTGAAAGTTGTCTAAAAACTTAAAAAGTGGGAATGAGCACAATGCAGTAGGGGCAAATTATAGATTGGCATCCCTGTACTCCAGTGGGCAGTTCTAAATTATGCATAAAAAGTCATGTCATACCTGTATTGTCCAAGTAGAGAATGGTTTTTAGAAGTGAGGCTATACCCCTTTTTGTAGCAATATGGACTCCTTCCCATTTCACACGCATAGAGTTCGTTCATGGACCATGATTTAAAATGACCACTTTGCAAATAAATCTTCTTGCCTTAATGTATTTGTGTCTCAAGTTTGAGATCACACAAGAGTCTAGTGTTACCCCCTGCAGTAGATGCATCTCTTTGGATTAGCCTGTGCATAAATGTACAGCTACATCTTTCAAACTCTGCCTTATGATTATTAAGTCAAGGGAATGCAACTTTGAATTAATATTAAACTTATAAAGACCACAGAGATCTTTGATCTTTACTTTCATTGCATTTTTCTCACAGATTGGCAGTAGTACTACACTTCTCCGGCCACTCCCACAGCCACGGTGGTCTGGGTCATGGCCACAGCCATGGTGGTGACAGCAGTGACCATGACCATGACCATGACGACAATGACACCCCCAGTAACAACCACGTTGCCATGGGCATGGCAGAGGAGCCTAAGGATGAGGATCAACTCCTGAACATTGAATCAGACCCCATCTGTGTAGAGTCGGAGCCCCTGTTGGCCGTGGACACCAACGGGACCTTGCCGGCAGTGCAAACCAGGCACCCAAAGAAGCATAAGCGGTCCCAGGGCAACATGAATGTGAGAGCAGCCTTCATTCATGTCCTGGGCGACCTCATTCAGAGCGTAGGGGTTTGCATCGCAGCCATTATCATAATAGTTAAGGTGAGGCAAGTTGCTTTGGCACAGATGTGGTCAAAACCAAAGGAAAGAATTCATGCAAGGTGGATTTGTTCAGGCACAGAAAAGGACGAATTACACGGCTATTTGTCCAATCGAGACACTGTTTTCTTGGGGCGGGTTCAATTCCTTTTAATTTTTATTGGGTCAGATCGTGTCATAGTTCGGAGCTCAGATCACTGTAAGATCAGATCCAGTTTATATAGTCCATAATACACTATGCAAAAAAAAGTTAAGGACCACTTTTTCTGTACTTGTAATTTTTTTCCAAGCAATGAGGCAAGAGACATTATGCAACAACTAAAACCAACCACATGTGAAATTACAGTGTGTTTGAGGTCATTCAGGACAGTTGTATTGGGATATTTTCAGCAGTAAAATATTTCATACAAACAAAAAGTATACACAAAATAAAAAGTGGTCCTTGACTTTTTTGATTAGTATATTTCTGATTTGGTTGGCTTGTTCAAGTCGATAAAATACACCACATTATCTGGCATCACATGTCAAGAATGAGTTTGCCACATCCAAATCTTTGGTTTGCAGCCAACATTGATACATGCGTCATTGGGGATATAGCTGTTTCAGCTAGCTGAGATCACAACTTATTTCCAGTCGCGGTCACCTCCCATTTCCAGTCGTACCCACGTAATTTGGACCCAGCCGTATTTTTCACAAGTGGTTTACCATGGTATATCTCTGACGCATAGGAAAGGCTGAAGCACGCCTCAAGTGAACGTGAAAGCAAAAAGAATTTGACGTCGCAGAATTTTTGCTACGAAGATTCATCTGAGTTGCAGCGTGTTCAACTTTTGTGAATTCACAGCACAGAGACTTGACTCAATATCACAGTCTCAGGTTCATGAATTTGGAAAGTGTTTCAAATTTACTCTGTATTTCTCTCTTTTTTCCATCACCTTTTACTTAAATAGCCGGATTGGAAGATAGCGGATCCTATCTGCACCTTTGTCTTCTCGGTACTTGTTTTGGTAACCACCATCTTCATTCTGCGGGATGCAGTTCAGGTTCTCATGGAAGGTGTGTTTGTAATGTCTTAGTCAGTCTATCCAAACAAAACAAATGCACCCAAAGAAACACTCGGATACCAGTTTTTGGTAAGAAACAACCTTAACCATTTGCTGCCGGGGAGCCTGGTTTCGGGCACGTATTCTTTATATGCACAACCAGGGTGCCCGAAATCAGACAAAGGGAACTGGGCCTTGTAACAAAAGACCGTGCTCGGAACAAAAGACCAGGCTGCTCGGATTCACCAACAGTTTATCACTCTCAATAGTGGAGATAATCCAGCATTGTTTTGAAACAGTATACCACTGTTTGGGGCATTCAGTGCAAATGGATTACCACTGGGGACAAAAGCGCTCACCCACCGCAGCGATGAGCCACACAGTACCGCTGCACGCTAATCTGGTCCCTATTGAAAAGACATCAGCAGGGCACTGTGCCAGTTTCAGGAACAAAAAAAAAAATTACGTAACACCGCACAGTCTGGGCTCTTTTTACAAGGCGGCGGGCCTGGCTGAAATACTCTAGCGTCAATAAATGTCTGTCAGATTAGAGTAGTAACGATACAGTCCTTCATGTGGGTGTAAGTGTACAGTAAATGAAGATATGAATTTTCAAAGAATTTGAAAAACAGGAAAAAATGAAAATTATTCCCGCCCAGCAGAATCAACATTTATAAATGCCCCTGGCAGGAAGAAGTTGATTTTCCCGTCAAGAAAACCAGAAACTTGTATGCTAATAATTATGCTCTCTGCTGTGCAGTACCTTAACCCTAATGGTTCTCAATCCCTAACCTGTTCGAGGACTTGAGATTGTTAGGGTTTAATTACAGTCAAGACGACTGATGAAGTTTTGGACCTCCCAAAACTCACCGAGATCAATCCCAATTTCCAGGTGTGGGCTCTTTCTACGTTCATTTCCTCCATCTGTGAAAGATGAAAATGATTTTCTTCCATGGGAAAACCTGTGACCCAGCCCAACATATCTAGTTGAAGCTGGCAGAGCTGCTTTTGAGTCAAAAACCTTAAAAAATTTTGCACTGTGGAAATTAATAAGAAACCTCAACAGTTGTCACCCAGATAAAAGCCTACATGTAGGAGAGAGCCCAGTTGGCCCCTTTTGATCCACACTAGAGCAAAATTACAAAATCAAATAAATGTCGAGCTTTTTAATATTGTAACAGGCGCAAAATTACTGGTTCAAGTACGCCATTGACTCGAGGATGGACAATAATTCTGGCTAGAGAGATCGTCGTTGGTCCAAGAATAACAAGAAGTTTGTTGTCTCTCAAGACTGCCTGCACACACCGTACCAGATGCGTGTAATCCCATGCACAAAACCTTGACGTTGAGGCGGAGCGCCAATGTGTATTGCGATCGAACGTTGAGTGAAATGCATTCCTTACTCTGTGCGAGATTGCAAGAACCAGATC